GCTGGGGATTTGAACCCGCCACCTTAGGTGTACATGGCTGGCACCTTAGCCGGTTGAGCTATAGGCGCCGAGCCAATAATTTTCTTTTAACATGGAACATGTGTCTCTTTGATTGACAGTTAAGAGATCAAGAGTTCATCTATTTTGTAATATAACCCTCACCAGGGAATTTATTTGTTGTTGTAAAATAGTAATTTCTTGGGCTGATTCCCTGACTAGTTTTCAAAGACAGTCTTCACACCAGAAACAATTGAGTTAAATAAGCCAGCTATGTCAGCAACAAGTCCAGATATTACTCCAATTATTGTAAGAATGAGATAGACACTGCACTTGGTTCAAAGTTATGAGGAATAAATGGAATGAGGTGCAATATACTGATAAGAATAAGGTTAGGAATTATGTATGCCAGAGTACAAGTATCCATCCAGTTTGCTGGGAGGCATAAATAAGCATTTGATCCATGAAGAAGGTAAATTTGAACTTGGGGATTTAAACCAGTGTTTATTGATATACTAGTATAAAGACATGCTGTATGTCTTTATAAATAGAAGCTAAAAGTCACTGTGACAAACAGAGCTATACCTAGTAATAGTGGCAAGGTTATTTGTCCAATTGAAGGAAGTAATAGTCGGAGTACATCCTATCTCATAGGCCTCAGGGGTACTTAGTTTTTGACATCCCTGGAAGTTGATTTAACTAAATTGGAACCAAAAGTTATGTTGGCTGGGCATGGTGGCTTACACCTGTAATCCCAGCACCTGAGAGGCTGAGGTAGGTGGATTGCCTGAGCTTATAGGTTTGAGATCAGCTGGAGTCACAGCGAGACCCCGTCTCTAAAACTAGCTGGGCATTGAGGCAGGTGCCTGTAGTACCAGCTACCTGGGAGGCTGAGGTAAGTGAATTGCTTAAGCCCAAGAATTGGAGGTTGCTGTGAGCTGTTATGCCACAGCACTCTACCCAGGGCAACAGCTTTAGGCTCCGTCTCAAAAATAAATAAATAAATAAATAATCACAAGTGGATGGTAAAGTGTGTAGAAACTGAAAATTTACAAACTATTTAAAACCTGGGATCACTGACTGTTCAGAAACTACACAGATGGGTGGTGGTGAACAGCACAAAGGGATAATGGATGAACCTGCATTGTTCTAGCTCCTCCCAGTGCCACCCGTCTCCGAGGAAAGCCTGACTAGATATTGACCCAGGCTAATGCTGGCAGCAGATCCAGTGATGGTAGCCTGCCTGTCAGTAGATCCACTGGGTTCACAATTTTTATCTGTGCCCCAGACATCTGATGGCTCCCATTGATTTTGGCACCCTGATGCCCAGTGATGCAGCCAATCAAATCATTTGGAATGGTGAGTTCGTAAGAAATAGTCTGAGCAGATGCATCCAAAACTGCCCAATAGCCTTTCACCTCTGGGGAGCTGGATTCTATGCCACTGAATCCTGTGTTGCCATGCATCATGGGAAAATGAGACTGTCGCATTGCCAACTAGTGTAGCTTGGTCAAATCTGGCTGTGGAATGGCACACTGTCCTTGAATGGTATAGGCCTCTAGAAGTGGTCCCTCCAGGTCAGGGTTGAGGCACATGGACAGGGTGGTGTGGGGAAAGCTTACACTATTACTACCTGTGCCGTACCTGTCCCGACCACCTGCAAAGATGACTGGAAAACTAGACGATTTGGGCCAGTACAGGATTGTCATACCCTTTGCAGGGGACTGGGAGAGTCTCCGACATGACCACGCAGATCTGTTTGGCACACTCAATGACGGATTGTGGAATGCCAGCAATAGTAATGACCTGCTCAGTTGAGTTGGGTAGCATATCCCCTGCCACCTAGACCTGAGCCCCTGTACTCTCTTGTGTTTCCTTGATCTTGCAACCACCTTTTCCAATGAGAAAGCCACACTGACTAGCAGGAACCACCAGCCTCAGGGTAACTGGAGGTCTACTAGCAGCTGTGCTGTTGGTCATAGAGATGCTGATGTCCTCTTCCAGTTTGTCAATGATCTTAGCAAAGACTGAAAATGGCATTAGTGAGTCCAGCCAAAGTGATAATTCTTTGAGGACAATTCCCTTCTGAGATGTTGATACGTGCACCACTCTACTGGGGCATCTTCTTAACTGATTCTCCTTTCTTTCCAGTGATACTGCCAACTTCCTTTCCATGCATAAGTAGCTGGATGGTGAGAGTAACATTTAATCCACCTTCAGTCACACCGGTATCCATGTTGAGCACTACTCTGGGGAGCTGGACTTTGCATGGTCAAGTCTTTGGTCACTGGTGGGGGTGAAAGCCAAAAACTCGGTCACAAGGCGACTGAGGGGAAAAGGGGAGAATGGCAAGGACAGGAGGCCGGGCAGAACAATATGGATGGGCGGGAAGGCGAGGGTGAAGGTGGGGTGAAGGAGGAAGAAAAGGAAGGGGGGGAAGGGGGTGGAGGAGGAGGAGAAGGAAGGGAAAAAGAGACCCCGGGGCGGGCAGAGCAGAAGAGAGCGTGGGCTGAGGTCGCTCTGGCTGCTGCCTCTGCTGGTCTGGGCAAGACCTCCTTTCTAAAAATAGCCGGACCTTGTGGCTGGCACCTGTAGTCCCAGCTACAGGGGAGGCTGAGGCAAGAGAATCGCTTAAGCCCAGGAGGTTTTTTTTTTTTTTTGACCGGGGCTGGGCTTGAACCCACCACCTCCAGCATATGGGGCCAGTGCCACATACTCCTTTGAGCCACAGGCAGCTCCCTAAGCCCAGGAGTTTGAGGTTGCTGTGAGCTGTGACCCACGGCACTCTACTGAGGGCAACAAAATGAAACTCTATCTCAAAAAAAAAAGAGGGGAGACTTTCTTAGCACTTAGGGGTCCTCCCATTTGTAACCTTATAAGATTGTTTCCAGGGATTGCTGCAGCAGTTGTAAACTGTCACAGTGCTGGTGATTTTTACCATGCTAAAGAGGCTAAGTTGGTTCTGTTCGTGCTCCAAGCCTGGAAAAGACCCTAACCTCAAGTTTCCTGCTGTCATGGGTTAAGTGCTAGATGTTCAAGGCTGTTCATTGGCCTCTTCAAGTTTGCTCCCTCTCTGTGGTGAAGGTGCTAAACTGTGTAACCTGCTTCAAGCTGTTAGCCTGGTAGCCTGCATCTGCAATTTGTCCCTTAAATCCTGGAAGGGAAACTGAGGTCTCAGAAGCCATGAAGACTCCCTCCTCCCATTAGGCCAACCAGTGGCCTTGGGGCTCCAGATTGAGGAGAAAAGGGGCTTGCCTACTTGTTGTGAGTATGTGGCAGAGTGGAGTGTGATCAAGGGCTCTGGATTGGAATGCTCAAGGGGCAGGAAGTGCCTGAAATCAGAGCTAACTTGGAGGCACAGAGTAGGGGGTGCCTGGAAGGGGAACAGATGCGTTGTGGCACAGGGAAGCTTGGGAGGAGAACAAAGGTCCCTGCTGGGTGTGACCAGACCTTTCCGCCAGAGCTGACTACTTCTGCCTTTGGCAAATATTTCACAATACCGTTGTGTGTGACAGTGTGTGTGTGTGTGTGTGTGTGTGTGTGTGTGAATGTGTGAACGTGAAGTGAATTGTGATGTAAGAGACCAGAGAGTCTAGCCAGGATGAGTAAGAGGGTGTGGGCTAGCACACTCTCTCACACCAGTGCCCAGAGAGGGGTACAAAGTGAGGAGCTGCCCATCACATCGCTCACACTCAGAGAGTACCTGACCTGAAGCCTGTGTCCTCATGGCAAGTGAGTAGTGGCCTCCAAGGACACAGCCTGATTGGGGTGGGGGGTGGGGAGAGGAGGGGACTCAGTGAGGAGAGACTTGAGAAGGCAAGAGAAGCCCTGCCTTCCTCCCACCACCATCACCATTACTGGAGTTCTAGTCTAGACCACAGTTCTGGACACAAGACCCATGGAGCTGGATCCTTCACAGCCCTCACACCTGGCTTTCCTTTGTGTCATCTGTATGGATTTCAGTCCCTGGAGCTTTCTTAGCTGCTAAGGAGGCAAGGGTCAGGCCAAGGGTAAACATACAGACTCAGCTTGCCCTTCTCAAAGTCCAATGTCTCTTTTCTCTTGCATTCTCTTTGAGAGATCTGAATTTGGGGATCTCTGTGCTCACATGGGAAGGAAGTAATTCTGAAGCCTCTGCTTCCCATACATAGATCTTCTGTAGTGTTTGGTTGAGAGGTGGAGGTGATGGACCCTAGATGGGGACAATACCTTAATTTCTCCACTCTGCCAAGAGAGGAAGTGGTAGAAGAGAGGGCAGGTATTTTTAATCCTGGGCCACCAGCAAGAGACAGGACACTCACCATGTTTCATGGGGTGCCTCAAAGGTGACAGGGGTCCCCAAATGCTGAGCAGGCCCAGCTATGGCTCCATCTCCAGTCCACCCAGCCCAGGACCACAGCAAGTACCTCCCAGAGAGACCTACCTGAGTGAGAAGATCCGCATCCCGGACACAAAATCGGTGGGAATGCTGGAAACTTCCTGGGGGCTTTTGGGATTGGCAGGATCCAGTGGGAGAGGGGAGTCTTCTTGTGACTGTAGAAAGTCCCTTTCAGCTCTGAGCTGTAGTGACAGACTGTGACAACTGTCTCTAACCCCAGCACTTAGGCAGGGTACTCAGTATTTGTCTAAAAATTATCAAACGGCTTTGTGAATGAGTCTGAGCTTCCTTATGAGGAAAAAGGGGCATGGGGGTGAATTAGGACTGGAAGCTGGAAGATGCATTTTAGTATTTAAGGAAAGGACCAGGACAGGGCATAGACACGGAGAGGCTGCCGGCTGGCATCTAGGATGCTGTCACCTGCATTCCAGAATCTTTAGCAGATTCCTAAACTAACAGGCCAAGCCCAGGAATGGGGTGGGATCAGTACCTCAGTGGACCCTAGAGAAGGGGCTGAGGAGGAAGGAGCTGGACTAGGGGGCCTCGCCTCCCTGAAAGCCCCCTGTCAGGGCTCTGAGGACCTGCTGAGTCAGAGCCTGCAAGAGGCAGGGAAGTCAGGTGCAGGCTGGCCACCGAGAACGTGATGGCTCCAGAAAGCAGTTCCTCTGTGACTCAGCAAATCCTCCTGGTTCCTCCATCTATCTCCCGCTCCCTGAGGGGGCAGCTCCAGGCTTGAGGACTAGAGGGCAGGCTGGCCCAAGGGGCTCAGGGTCCTGTGGGCTTAGCTGGAAGCTAGCAAAGGCCAGCTGCCTTCACCTCCACTACTCCCAGGACCCCATCAACCTGTTCTCATCCCCAGGGCACATTCAGTCTGCGGAAGCTGTGGGCCTTCACAGGGCCTGGCTTCCTCATGAGCATCGCTTTCCTGGACCCAGGAAACATCGAGTCAGATCTCCAGGCTGGCGCCGTGGCTGAATTCAAAGTGACTGAGTTGGGACCTGAGACAGGGCTAGGTGGGGAGGGAGTTGACTGGGCTAAGTGGGTGGAGTTCCCTGCTTGCCATGTTTCCCTAGGTCCTGCATGAATGAATGGTATTAACTGGGAGCAGGTGTCAAGTTCAAACAGGCCAGGAAAGGGTCCCCAGTGTAGCCCTGTCAGAGTGTGGGGTGTATGGGGTGAGGGGGTTGTAGAGATAAGCACCCCACGCTCAGACATGGCAGCTCAACTTCAAGTGCTCCTTACTGTTGTAATAAATCTCTGTCCCACAGTAACAGGGGGTTGGTCTTCTTGCTATATCTCTCTCACCTTCTCCCCAAGGAGGGGTACCACCAACCCAGGGATTTTCTGAGACTGGCCCCTTTGGCTGAAAGCCTCTCCCTGCCTTCTCGCAGCTGCTCTGGGTGCTGCTCTGGGCCACGGTGTTGGGCTTGCTCTGCCAGCGACTGGCTGCTCGGCTAGGCGTGGTGACAGGCAAAGATTTGAGCGAGGTCTGCCATCTCTACTACCCTAAGGTGAGCCTGGGGACCTGGACAGGAAGAACCCACTGGTTTCAAACCCCAAACAGGTATATATAGCTTTCATGATCAAATTCATCAGCTGGTGCATCCCAAGTCTATTTGTTAGATGAAAAGACTGAGGCCCAAATTGATAGCACACAATCTGAGAGGCACCTCAGAGATGCACTGGTTATTTTACAGAGGGAGAGAGAAACTGAAACCTGAAAAACTGACTTGCCCATGCTAAAAAACAGGGAGCCATCAACTCAGGGATGGCCACTGGCTGGGGTAGATCCTGGGGATTTGGCAGTTGTGTCCAGAAAGGAAAACAGAAATCACAGCACTAGACATTTCAAAGGTATTTAATAAAGGGATTTAAAGTTTGAAAAGGCTGCAGGAGCAAAGGTTACCCAACAATCGGAAGCTGCTACACCCCTGACATAAGCTCAAGAGCCATGATTTGCTACTGAGCTTCCAGAAGCATTGCTGACACTGATGAAATGGCTACTTGTGCTGCCAGACCCCAGGTTGCCTCGCGTCCTTTATGGTGTCACTGCCAGAAACACCATCAGAAACAGGGAAAAAATGGCTTCTCTCTGTCTTCCAATCTCCTAAAAGCATGTCCTATAACACCCACCTGGAAGCCAGCAGGCAAGGTCATCTTGCAAATCTAGTTTGCAGGCTTCTAGCCCAGTAGCACAGCACAGGATGTGGAAAGGTGAGTGTTGGGCTGAGACAATAGACAGATACCTGGCAGATAACTGAAGGATCATCTCCTACCCACAGGTGCCCCGCACCCTCCTCTGGCTAACCATGGAGCTGGCCATTGTGGGCTCAGACATGCAGGAGGTCATCGGTACAGCTATCGCCTTCAACCTGCTCTCTGCTGGACGGTATAGCCCCCATGTGTATAGCTCATTAGCCCAAGGCTGGGAGCAGCTGCTCCTTGTCCCTAGGCCTTGTGCCTCCCTGAGTGCATTTAATCCTGATTTAGCCCCTCTGACATAGGGCTATTGCCCTATTTCCCAGAAATGAAAATTTACTTGTCTAAAGTTACACAGATGTGAGTTCTGCACACTCCAGAACTGTACCCCCAGGCTCTCCGGCATGCCTCCTCTCCTATCTAGTCTTGCCACTCTCACTTCCCTCACCCTAGCTGTCTGAGGGCACTTGGGTCCCCCCCTCCCAAAAGGCCAGATTCCACAGTCTCTAGCCCTGAGCATGGGCATTCAAGACCATGCTGTTTGGGCTGACCCAGGTCATTCTGGTTTCAGAATCCCACTCTGGGGAGGCGTCCTGATCACCATAGTGGATACCTTTTTCTTCCTCTTCCTTGATAACTACGGTAGGTGTGCACCTCACCTCATAGGGGCCTGTTGGAGGTGAGGTGCTATGTTGGGGGAGGGGCTCTGACAGTGCCTGGCAGTGCAGGGGCCCTCTCTCAACTGGTCACTGTGTGGCAAGTGACTTAGACCTTGAGTTTCTTTTGTAACATCAGGAAAATAAGAGAGCAGACACCAGAGGTTGCTGTGAAGATTCACTGAGGTAATATATGTTAGGCACTTAGCACAGAGCCTGGAAGTGATCCGGATACTAGCCATTAACAATTGTTTATGTTACAGATTTTTTGGGTTTGTATGTTTGTTTTACCCCTATGTCCTACCCCTAGGGTTGCGGAAGCTTGAAGCCTTTTTTGGATTCCTTATTACCATTATGGCCTTGACCTTTGGCTATGAGGTGGGAAGCCAGAGCTATAATTCCCTGTCCCCCTAAGGTCATTCTTCTCCCCCTCTCTCCTTCCCTGCCCCCTTGTGGTTGGGACTGGTGGGCGGTGAGAATTAGCGACAAAGGCAGTGGCTTTGGCTGCAGAGGGGCAGACCAGACTCCTGACCAGACTCCTCCCTCCAGTATGTGGTGGCACAACCCTCCCAGGGAGCACTTCTTCGAGGCCTGTTCCTGCCCTCATGCTCTGGCTGTGGTCATCCTGAGCTGCTGCAGGCCGTGGGCATTGTGGGTGCCATCATCATGCCCCACAACATCTACCTGCATTCGGCCCTGGTCAAGGTGAGCAGAAGGGAGAGGAGGGAGAGATGTCCCTCCTGTAGAGGTGTGCAGACTCCTCCTCCAATCCTCAAGCTCCACTGCTCTGGCACCTTTCTTCGGGACAAACATTTTCTTTTCTTTTTTTTTTTTTTTTTTGAGACGGAGCCTCAAGCTATCCCCCTGGGTAGAGTGCCATGGCATC